GGGATAGTCTTAGCAAATGACTGTTTGCTGCAGGCAATTGATCACTGCATCTCCTGGAACTCCTCTGTTTGAAATTTTTGTGATCAAAGATGCCGAGGAAACATATGTTATGCAGGTGAGATATAGAGACTTCCTTGGCAATGCAGCTTGTTCAGAGTACTTACTGCCCAAATTCACAAGCACCTTAAATCAGTTGGCTGGCTGAACTTTGGATTATATGTTAAATTGAATGAGCTGATTATTCTCCCACCCCCACCTGCATGTCCCCTCCCCTCCAAGTACAGACACACATGAAATGGCTACTTTGTTTGCTTTAACTTTTGATTATCCCAATATAATTAGCACCAATATGCAGCTTTTTGAGTATGCAGGTACATCCCAACGTACTTGAAGACAAGCTTTTGTGTTTAATTAACTCCTAGGATTACATCTTGAAAGTTTAGTAAATCTAGATTAACAGTTGAGTAGAACACACCAGGTATTCAGATGCGGCAAGTTGTTACTAGCTCTGGTTATTAGGTTCTGATAAGGAAATCTATATGCGGATGCAGATCCTATTACTTAATCCTCATCTGGACTCAGGTTCTGCCTTCGTTGAAATTAGAATCTGCATTTCTTGTAATAAAAGATTGGGTGACTATTGTAGTGTAACTTATGCATTAAGCATCATTTAGAATGAATAAGGACTCAGCTGTAGCCAATAACATAGATTTAGCCTACTGATTTGGACAAAAGAGACACCCTACTGTAGTCAATAGCAACCTTTTGACCCATGTAATAGTATATGAGTCTTGAGTATTCTTCTTTACCATTTCAGTTGCCTAAAAATAGTGATGGTTTCTATCTGCTCGAAGTTTTTTTAGGATAAAATTCTACATGCTTGAGGTTCCACTTTCTTTTAGTTCCTCTTAGAAGGAGGGTTCTGCTAATCCTTTAGGTCCTCCAAATATTAGTATGCAGTTTCGATGAAGCACTTCTATATTGTTTCTCTTGACAGGTTGTATACTTGCAACGAGGCAAAGGAAGTTCTACTAATACTGCTAGTTCACTTTTGAAGCCCACAAAATCTCCATCCAGTTCTGCAGTTGAGAAGCCACCTGCAGTAGATGTTCAAGAAAATGAGGTCATATCAGAAAGGAATGAAGAGAAAGGTATAAATGTTGAGGGGGCAACTGAAGAAGGGATAAAAAGCGTAATAAACTTTCTGAAAGATAAAATTCCAGGATTGAAGGTTAAAGTCATGAATGTCAATGTTACTGGTGAAGTCATAAGTGACAGTGATTCAGTGCAGCAGTTGATGCAAGAAGATGATGAGAAGTTGAGTTCTAGTGAGAAATCTGATGATGAAACTGATAATTTGGAAGAGATTCAGCCTGAAGGGGTTGCTCTGGGAGATGATGGTGCTATAGCAGAAGAGGGAAAGGATTTGGATACCAAGCTTTTTATTGGTGGGGTTGTACATAATAGTGAGGATACTCTTGCAAAGGATGAGTACGTGCGTCTTCCAGCGGAAATTAAAGATATTGAAAGAGATTCTTTTGTGCTACATATTCCAAAGAAGAGTCTGGATTATGAAAGTGGAGAAGGTAAAGTCCCTACGGTGAAAGTAGCAGCTATAGCAGCTCAAGGTGTTTCTGAGCTTATGCCTCCAGAGGTTGCCCGGGCATTTTGGAGCGGCGACAAGGCTTCTTCAAAGGTAAGGTTAATTTTGAGCTATCTGATTGGAAAATGGATGATTTGGATTTTGAGATTCCATTAATACATGTTTAATACTTGTGTTGCTGGCAAGGCCCTTGAGATCAAATATTAGAAGCCAAATTGACTTTTTTGGTTTGCCTTTATTTTCTACTTACAAATTTTAATGTCTGGTTGATTGTATGTTTTTTATGTTTTATCAGTTTAAATAGAAATTTCTATATCATTGAAATTGAGATATATTTTAGCATCAACCTGGTCTGTCTTGGTGGTAGATGATTGTTGAAATTTTAATATATTTTTGTAAATATTTGGTTTCTTCCAAGACTTAACGTTTTCTTGTACTTAGAGGGATCGGATGGCTCTTTTCACTAACTCTTTTCTTTTGTTTCCATTTTTTCGTCTTGTTTCTGTAGGATTACTTATCCTCTCTCTTTTTGTAATCTCTTCTAGTCTTAATAAAAATGGTCATCTTCTCATATAAAGGAAAAAGTAACAAAGATGATTTCATGCATAAAAGGTCCACATCCCAATATACACTTATCAATAGATAGATAATGCTTGAAATGGTGCAGTGTTTTGAAAAACTTGAAAATAGTCCTGCCTCCCATTCCCTAACGCAAATCTAGGTACTGTTGGTTCCAACTGTGTGCTTCTCTGAAGATAATTGATTAAAAATTATGAAAGAATTTAAATCTTGTCCTAGGTTTCCAGAGATGTGCGGGAGATCATCAAACTTGCTGCTAGTCAAGCACAAAAACGGAGCAGGCTATCTGGGCATACAACCTTCACTCGGATTAGTACTTCTGAAGGCAATTTAGATCCATTTAGTGGTCGGTGTGCTTTCATATCTTGCTTTATTCTTTTCCACTCTACATAGCAAATGAAAATTTCCTTTTCAGGTTCTGAACTGATGCTGTGCAGGTCTGTGCGTTGGTGCTTTTGGTCCATACGGCACTGAGGTAGTGCAGCTGAGGCGCAAATATGGTCGCTGGAGTGATGCAGGTGAGGCAACTCCTGATATGGAGTTCTTTGAATATGTTGAGGCTGTGAAGCTCACTGGTGATCTTAATGTTCCTGCTGGCGAGGTTTGTTTCTTTTATATGTCTTTACAGATAATAGTTATGGTGAAGCCACCAGCCACTGTACAGAATTTTATATTCATATAATGTGCCAGTTGCTAATTGATATACCACCGTGCAAAATTTTATAAGAACTAAATGGTCCAGTTAATTGATATACCTTCTTGATTGTAGGTGACATTTCGTGCCAAAATTGGCAGAGGAAGTCGCCTTCCCAATCGAGGGATGTATCCGGATGAATTGGGTGTGGTAAGTATATCACCTTTCTCTTCCCTTCTCTGTCTCCAGCTCCCCAAAAATGTTGTTTTGGCCTTGAAATCAATAGATATTGAGGACTGATTGTTAATAAGGATTTCATGTTAAATAAAATACTATATTATTTAGAGTTCTAATAGTATAATTATATTCTATAGTTAGAGTTCAAATAAAATAAAGATAACTAATTTATATATATCTTCTAAATGTAAACAAAACATGTAATAAAAATTAGAAATTTATTTTCTTTAAAAATTTCATGGTATCAGAGCGCCGGTAAAAAGTCGCACATTCGTAGGCGTCGGTAAAAACTGAAGCCACACATCCACAGGCATCAGTAAAAAAGTGCAGCTACACCTCCGAAAGTGCCGGTAAAAATATACAACCACACAACCGTAAGTGCTGGTAAAAAGTTGTAGTCGCATATCCTCACGCGCCGGAAAAAGTGC